CAAAAGACAACTGCAGCCTGGAACAGATTCCATCCATATGTTTGCACCAGGTTAATCATGTCCATCCCCTGGGCCTGCTGCCGGTCGGATTTGCAAGGAGCAGTTGCTTAGCCTTCCTTTCTGCAAGCATTCGCAACACATGCGCAAGCCACCGCAGCTGTGACTTCTCAATCTGGGGAAGCAAAGGCTGTATTCCAAGGCTCTTCTAAATGTCACTATTCCGGACCATGTCGAGATGCGTAAGGCCAGCGACTCCTCTAAGAAAGCAAATTCTGTTTCTACTAAATTAAAGTAATTTAATAATTGCAGTTCTGTGACGATTACAACTAAACAGCAAACTAAAAGTGCATAATCTCAAAGATAATAATCATAAAAATTTCAAAAAACATGAGTGCAAAGCAATATGGTAAAATTTTAAATCATTATTTGAGCAAGCTATCGCTTCACGGCAATTCAGTTCCTGCGGTTCATTGGCAAACCACGTAATATTCTAACTCCCGAAAGTTATACGTTGTTCAACACCAAAGATGTTACAAAAGTTGATGCTGTTTTTAAGTGATTTATCATGAACGCGAAAATTTGTGCACGCAACTATTATGTTGTATACAGTTGTAGATTATAGGTGATTTATTGCAATATTTTTCGTGAACTGTAGGGTCTGTACAGCCCATGAATGAGATAAAACAATTTACTTCGACATTAAAATTTTACGTACATGTATTTACATTTCATGAAAGGTAAGACTGAAATATTTCGTTACATCGTCTAGAGCAACAATATCCGTAACAGGGCACACCTCCATACGTAAGTCCATCAGGCAAATTGAACGTCACGTAACAAGCCAGGCGGCGGGAACCATACAATTTGGTCATTGTTCCTGGAACACAAGCTTTACCACAAACGTCGCATACCGGACAATCGTTTAGGGCGTCGCGACATCGAGGTGGAAGAAATGGTAGCACAAGTCTACAAAAATGTCATAAGCAAATTGCAAACAGTCAAATGCAGATGTACAGGCATAAGCTTAAACGCTTAAAGATATATGCAGGTTTAAACTGAATACAATAATACTTAAATAAGTATGCTTATTCCGGTAATGTAAGCAATTTCAAAAATAAGCAAATACAAGTTCTTTTGGAGGAAAAATTCCTTATAGATTAGATTTAATTTCAAATTTTTCACAGCCTGTGAAAATCGTGGATAATTCGCCAGAATACTTTCCCAACTCTGCTGCTGCAGCCAAAAGCTAAGGTTAGAAAAGAGGAGGCTTTGGGATAATGGCCGAATCTCCAGTAAAGCAGCCACCTTGTCCCTCCTGGTACTGATACCATCGAACGCTATACCAGCTCTGTCATCTCCCGGATTACCAAGAACCTAGCAGGCTGCTGCAAAACAGAATAAAAATTCTGTCACTTACGGTTAGATAGGATAGTCAGGCATCAACAGGATGAAAGGAGAATTTCTGATAAAAACACTGAACAGAAATAGGATAAAACAATATACCAAACAAGATAATTCATTAAACTGAAATAGGATTGCTGAAACGAATGGCTGAGCCCCTGTGTACAGCCACTGCTCTGTCATTTTAAAAAGTCACAACTGCCAGATGGTTTGGACAAGTGTTTAGAACGCTTTCAGAAAAGGCGAAGCAACCACTGCTTGTCCAACCGACCGACCAAAAACTCTGGAAATGGCTAAAAATTACTTGGAGCAAATGTCTAGACTCTGCAACCAGATTCAGGTTATCTTCTACCAAAGCTCAGATGCTGGCACAGGATCGGCAACATTAGTGACACAGTATAACGCCGTTGCCTCCACGACAGAAACAGATAAGTGATCATCGAAACAGACTAACTGACTGAATCAAACATACAGAAATATGCTTTATTCTATATATTTACTGGTTTACATATTTACAAGTTACAGCATGTGTTAATTTGAGTCAGCTATCAAGCAAAAAAGACATATAGCAGCCGTAAGGCATATGTCTCAGAGAGCCAGGCCGAACATCCCGCAAGCTATGATATAGCTACGTCAGAAGGCCATGCTTCTCCTATCGTTCGCAGATTAGCGACCTGTTGCTTGTTTACCGGTTAAATGGAACGAAGAAAAGCGTGGCAAAATTCTTGAACAAGGAAAATGACCGAAAAGACATGCCAAAGAAGCATTAGATGTATTCAAAGCTGCGACAATGTCAATCAGAACAAACGATAGAATCTGAGAAGGAAAAAACAAGCCTCATAACACCAGTCACCATCTATTTAAGTGGCAACACGAACCGAAAAATCGCCTGTCGACTCAAATAAATCACGTACTATTGGCCACCGTCTTTTGCGTCCGTATTGGTCTTAGCAGGCAGGTCATATGCATTGCTTGTTCAAATCAACTGTTCTCAGTGATGCAGTTTCATTAAGGAAATAAGCAGTGATTGAGACACGTTTGCATAATTATAGTTTGTATAGTTTGTAAAAGTCGCTAATTTGAGTGTTTTGCCTTTAACAATGATACATCAGATAAAACTGAAACAACAACAAGACAAATTTACAACGCACTTGGATCTGAACCGCGATATTTAACGCGCAAAACTACATGATTTAGATTCAATGAACCCTATATTTTACCAAATCGTGCCATTTTTGTTCATGTAAAAGTAGAGCTCGCTTCGTACCATGTAATAAATAATAGGATGCCAAGCAGACTGAAATGACGTATATATCAGACATAGGTGCATTCAACATCGATTAATTGCCAATGCCGTATTTGAACTTACTTTGCATCCTTCACTGCCTTGGCAGTGTAGTGTAGAAGCGAAGGCAGAAAATGATCTGATTCGTCCAATATTTTTGAAGTGTCAAACGGATTACCGACAATATCGATGTAAACAGCGTTTAGATGAAAAATTCCAAAATGAAAACGCGTCAGCAAATTATTGGCGACGTTGAGGTAGCGGAGTGAATATCTGACTTTCACAATCTCTTCAGGTAAAGCAGAAATTAGGTTGCGACTCAAATCCAGGTGCACCAGAGAAATCGAAAACAGACTGGGATGCACGGTTGTCAGCAGGTTGTTGCTCAGACATAAATTGATTAAGCCTCGCGGAAGAGAAGTGAAAAAACTCTCTGGCAGTGACAAAATTCTGTTGTCAGCGAGCTTCAACTCTCTCAAGTTCTCCAACTGACCAAATTTGATGCAACTCAGATCATGGCCCAAACTGTTGTTGCTTAGGTCGAGAAACCTCAACTGACTAAGGTTCAAAATGCGATTGTCAAACCTCGACAGTCTGCAGAAGTTAGCCTGGAAGAGTTCCAGATACGGGGGAAGACTACTATCAAAGGGATATTCTGCTCGACTGGTGATGATCATTGACTTTCGCAAGTTTTCAAAATCCTTTCTTTTCACGGATAGCCTGGAACTGGACAAATCTTCGATAGCAACATGTCGACCAGTTATTATCGACTTCAGCACAGAAAGTAATTTCTTAAGTGCTACTGGGTCCGCCTAAAACACAAAAACAATACAGTCATACAATACTATACAGAAACTAAGATAACAATAAATTTATTTTTATTAGTGGCCCCAGAACTCTTCAACAGTAATACGCTTGATTTTCAAAGGACGTTTCCAAGGGATCAAGGCATCTGTTTCAAAGCTTATAAATATTTACCCCATCAAAATATGAAGTATTATGCAGTTATTCGTTGACTGTTTAGAAACTTTAGTACGGAATCACCAAGTGCGCGACCACTACCGCTACTGAATCCTGAGCAGTATCTCAATAATCCAGCATCAAAAGGTGAAAAAGCACCAGCAGGATAAGGCGAAACGGTGGTTTCAGGTTTTTCCATCGTTCTGTATTCGCCATGCTGCGGCTGCTACCAGAATGTTCTAAACTGGCCGACACTTCTCTATCAAAATAGGTACATCACTCAACCCCGTAATCATAGAATTTCCTTCATCATTAATCTAATTGTCAGTCAATCAAGCGTAGCTTTTGCAATTACTGCTGCTATCAGAAAATCTATTTCTACTCATGATCTTTCCCAAGTCAAGCCACAAACCTGGTACCAATTAAGGCTAACCATCTAAACAGAGGGCAATCTCGCGAGGTCTAACCGTTTTTATTTCTAAAATATATCACGAACAAAAATTTAAACATGGTTTGGCTTTAGATTGCTTTATGACATCGTAGATGAAGAAAGCGCTTTCAACTGACTAACGACATATCGTAATCTTTATGAATTGGAAATTGCCGTCAATATCTACAAGCAGAGTAACTGTTAATGCTAGTTAATGGTTGATTAGCAGCAACAAAGAGGTCAGCTGCATGTCCAGAAGCCCATACTGTCATACTAAAAATGTAATTTATCAGGAAAGAGGAAAAGCCAAATACCTCTCAACTAATTTCACCCACCGGTTCGTAAATGATAAATCGTCGCTTATATCGCACAGAAGGAAAGCGCCGGTCGACACGGATTTAGTTGTCTTCTTTCCGGCTCGAGTTCAGAATTTCTTCAGGGGCATTGTTAAGGATAATTCTGATTTAAGCTAGGTACCTGGGCAGCCTGAGCTACTTCTGTGGCATGGTGGCACAGTGTGCAAGACGTAGGCTTAGAACTCGAATTTCACGTGCCAAGTGCAACTCCCATGAGGGGGAACTTTGACTCTTCCATGAGATCCCTTGAGCAAGGAATTCTCCGCCAGTTGTTTGATACCAGAGCTACTTGGCCAGCAGAGTATCAGATTCAGAAACGAAAGGTCCTCCGGGGTTAGACCTCCTGTCGGGGTCACTTGCCATTCTTTGTTTTGAGGTTGATGAGTACCACACTGATAAATAAGCGGAAAGAAAACAGGAGAATACACACAATGCTTTTCATATAGTTAGAGTAGATTCTGTTTTAAAAATAAGGTACTATTTCTGATGGCATGGCAATGGAGATCAGTTCTACAACCGAAAACGAGGGTGCTAAAATTAGCCCCACCAAGCAAGTGTAAACAATAGCGCCATTTCAACAGTTACAAACATCTCTTTCCTTCGTTAGCTATTTCGGAGTGCTCAAGAAACTCGTCATTTCCTTAACTAGTTAAATTATAACAACAGTTGCTAATCACTACATAAGTAGAATTAACTATGAAACAAAAAGACTGCCACCTGTGATCTGGTTTGAATGCGAAGATTCAACAACGTAAAAATAGAAATCCTTGCACCAGTGCTGGCAAAACTATGAAATGATGGCTGATTTTTTCCTTCATTTAGCAGAACCCAAAGATATCTGTGATTTAAGGGACCATTCAGATTTAAGTTCGTTTATACAAGATGCAAATTCAATTTTAGACGCTCAATGGAAACGTTGTACAGAAGACTAAAATTTAAGTCCAAAGTAACGGTCAAAGTAATGCAAAACTTCAAATAGGAAACTACGGTAGAATGCATTCAACATGATCACTATTTTAAGTACGGAGGCAAATTATGAACTCAGATAACTAATGAGACAAAGACTGCAGACGCAAATGGCTAAGAGAAAGGCAACTTGAAAGCAGTCTGATACATTCCCTTGAGAGTTAAAACAACAAACAGGAAGGAGAAAGGTAAGAAGGCTTCACATCCTTAATCAAAAGTGGACATCGAAACGGTTCCCTGGAGAATTGAAACACGAAAAAATGTATATATAATTAGAGACCGAGTTGAGTCACGAGCGCTCCAACTATCGTCATATCATAATACTCGTTAACTGTTAGGAAACTACACTCAGATTATCCTGAAAAAGATGAGGCAGACAACTGATGGGAGACTTCGCCCAAATCAGGCCTAAGGGACAGAATTTGTTCCGAGGAAATTTTTACTTTGGCAGAATCACTGAGCAACGCAAACGATATCGGATCCCTTAGTTTGTCGGTGTTTTGACTTTAAGACTTTAAGGCTGCGTCTGATTTAAAACATTATCTGAACCATGTAGATAATTTTAATATGCTACGAAATACCTAAAATATCGTTTCTATTTTGGAACAGATGTATGCAGCAACCATATCCCTTGTTAAAACAGAAAGAGGGAATTTGGCGTTGAGTTCTTACTAACTTCGAAATTTTTAAGGGAGATGTGCTTTCGCATTTGCTATTGAATACATTTCTCGACTATCTCCTGCGGAATAGTCCTGACCCCAGCAGGGACGAGGGTCACATTCTGGAGGGAAAATTCAGTAGAAAATATTCAGTAAGATATCTTGCTATCCTAGAGTAAAAAGATGATATTGCCCTGGCGAGAAGTACAGAGAGTGGGCTCCGCTACCTGAAAACTTCTGCATGCAACTAATCAACAATTTCCTTAATATCCAAAGGTTATATGTTATTAAGAGCTTAGCCAGCAGAGCATATCCACATATAGTCGTACATTCTGAAATAAACTCACCTGAACGGCATGCTGCACCACTGTTCACAGGTAAACTAACTGCCACTCGTTTTTTAATTGGTTGAATCAAAAGAAATTGGGATGAATTTCTTGCTTAAGAGAATCATCAGTTAAATCCGGCATTTTTAAGGTTCAAAGCTGATCCTTACAACTGCGTTATCGCCCCACTCAATCACTCTCCATGATCTCAGTATCTAAGTTCCATCATAAAGAGCGACCTAGCTCCAACCAAGCAGAGTGAAACTGGAAGATCATTTTCCAGCAACTGCTTTTAGTAACCGATGCTGTTTGTTGGCAAAGAAAGAGCATCCATCTTTCCACAAAAATCGCGCTCAACACTGCCTTGGCAAGATGAGATACTGTACGATAAAATGACCGTCATTTTAACAAAGGACCAAGAACGATGGTTAAACAGCGTAGAGCGACGCGTAACGAAGGTTAAATGACAGGAAGTACTTAAAAATGACTCCTTTGCCTAAACACACTGGATATGGAAATTAAGGAAAATAAGTTAGTTTTGCTAGGCAATTTGGATAAGCACAAACTACTTACTCCAACCCACGAACTTCTCACATGCAAAAGAAGTACGGCCAACGCCGACTAGGAGACCAAGAGGCAACATTTGTAAACAAGACAGAGTCAGACCTGCATTTGGAGAAAATTCCAAATTTGTTCCTTCCGTAGTGCAATAACAGAAGCTTTGTAACAAATGTTTAAAAGTTCCAAATACAGCGGACATTACAAACCAGGAAGTTTCTGTCGTTGTCTATGGCTGAAAGTGATTATCAGAACAAATTCGATACAAAATAACTCTTTTATCTTAACAATCAGTAAAACCAAAATGTATTTTCTTACTTTACTTATGAACAGGTAGGTGCCTAAACTTTCAAAATAAAGACCGGCTTTGCCACCGATGACGAACCTCTCGAATACGGTGTGTAATTTTTTGACATCGTAAAATTTGAAAGGTTTATTCGCGAAGTAAACCACCAGCTGGACTTCATTCTTATTATTGTTTTTTAATGCGAGAATCGCTTGAGCTGGTCTTCCTTGGCCGCCGGAAGAACTTTTTATCTCTACGTAACAAGGGAGCTTCATTCTAAAAAAGAAAACTCACAAACAATAAAATACGAACTAAGGAAAATCAAAAACCTCGAATCTTTAGTAATTTTCTTATTTGATTATTGTCATCCGCAGTAAAAGTACAGAAAACACTGTTTTAAGGTACAAGAGGCTATCTCAAAAAGTTGTTGGACGCTAACAGAAGCTAATGAATTTCACGAAGATATCTGCCAATCCGGTTGACTTCGCCTTGTTCTACATGGGAGACTAAACTGCAAAGGAAAAGAGTCTTTATCGTCATTTTTGATACCCACATCATATAATCAATGAAGCAACACTAATTAGATGACATCACGCACACAATGCAATCAACGAACAGAAAACATATTATCATGCAAAAGACAAGTAAAATTTCGTTTCGAAAAATGCAGCTTCAAATTTAGACATATAGCAAAAGCTGGGTTAATTAGCAATTTATGAAAATTGCTTAAAATGATCGACCTGCCTTTCTGAGAATCAGTTTATTGAAAAGTGTGGTAGAGCTAGGTGCGAATCCGTGCTTTCAACCTGTTCTTTGTGTAAACAGCTTAAAAACAAACTTTCAGATTCTGCTTTTAATTGTGGATATGTGCTGGGTCATGCCTATTTTTAGTGTGTAAAATATCCCGATGATATAGACACTAAAGACGCTGTGAAATCAGCTAAAGACTTAAAGCAGCATCACGCGACAAGCCAATGATTAACAGTCGAACAGAATCTCACAAATTTATACCGTAATAACTGCTTCGCGTTCCTTCCTTTCCACTCTTCCTGAACTTTTGATTTTGTTTTGCTTCATTTACTATTTACCTGTCTTAATATTGTTCCGTTCAATTTCTGTTTTAACTAGAAAACCTTTCATATGCATGACACGGGAAGAAATCA